CACTAACACTGAGCACTGTGAACCATTGAGCTAATCCAATATTGCCACCACTTATGCACTTATGGTTCAAAGATGCTGCAACTATTATCATTAACTTAGCATATGCGAGCTTCTTAGAACGGGGCCTAATCCTCGAGAACCTTAAGAACCATTCATTAAGATCAATAAGCGCGAGCTGAACAGCCACAGAAAACGATATTACATCTTCCCTCCATCAAGTACGAGCTCGATCTACCCGAAACTTTCTTGAGAGGCTACTCAAGTCATAAACAGTGCCTATATGGATCTATGAAACATTTGCTAGCTATATAGATTTGTAGTTATGAGCTTGTGGAAACATGGGAGTGCGAATATATTATATGTATACATTGCCCAAATTGAAGAAATCATCTCACTATTTAGTCCCGAACGTTTTTTTAGTTTTCTTGGGCTACTTTGATATTCAATTGTCTTGAAGATTATGGTCAAAAAGAGTTATTCAACTAAACCACCTATGTACACGGAGCACGCTTGGACATCAGACAAAGACCCTCTAGGCCAAAAATAGAATCATGGCAGCCAGGCGTTTGTACTGAGTGTCTAGACTCAGCCTCAAACGAAGCAATCCTCACTTGATGCGTCTAAAATATTTAGTAGGTTGCTAAAAATTTCGCTCGTAGCAGGACAGTGCAGCTACAAAACGAGCGGAGCAACCCCCTCTACAAAATACACTGAGCAAGTTTGTATACTTACCTGCAACCCACAATCAGCAAAAAATGGAAAAATATCGTGAAGAGTAAGTAGATTTCCATTCTTCAACTTCAAAACGTCCCGGATAGTGACTTCGAGGTGTCGTATAAAGTACTTTGTACGCTATCCTCATCACACCGCCTGAAGAAGTACATAATACAATCCATACCTTGCCTATACTTCGATCACCATAAACTACTAGCTCTAGCAATAGCTCCAAAAAATCACTGAAGATTGGAAGTCTGCACATTCGCCTTACTCGACTACACGCATACGCACTCAAACCCTAACCACATCTTCTGTCAAACACTCTGGCAAAACCCAAATACACCTTGGCACAAACTACCCCTTTTCCCCAACCGCAGACACAAAACTAGAATTTTACCACCCCTAAAGCACCTAACTCCAACATTAAGCCATTCTCAACACCAGACATCTCAAAAAGCCAAACCTCACCCTCTCCCAAGCTACAACTAAAACCCCTTCCAGAGAACTCACTGTCCACCACATCAGCGACAATGAACCCTAACACTCACGCTACAATTATACTCGATCTTACTCAAAACTCCGATCTCCAACATCCCGAAAGAAACCATGCTACACGCACACAGCCACATATCCCGCGAGGACCTTGAATATCACGAAACGCGATACATCTCTCAACGCAATGTCAACCACTACCAACCCCCATATCTCACAAGCTTTCCCCCATCTTGAAGGAAGACAAAAGCAACAAACAACATAATTTCTTCACACACACACACACACACACACACACACACACACACACACACACACACACACACACACACACACAACTCCACTAACCAAAGGACCCTTCCAAAAAAACGGGGGGATTCCATACAGGATCAGGGATTGATACTATAGGAGCTTAAAAAAATCGAGTGGAATTTACTTTCATCAAACTCACCACAGAAAGCATCAAGTCGTAAGGCACGGAGTAAAAAAAAAAAAAAAAGCCATGAGTGCACAGTTTAATATTGTAGACTTGACATGCAAACATGACGGTAAGGGAGAAAAAAAAAGTTTTTGAGACGAAGAAAGAGACACCAAGTGCACACAGTTCATCACTTTCCCTCGCCGCTCTAGAAATCACATCACCAAACACGGCACAGCGTCATACCAAAATACTTTATTTGAACTCCTTATTAAAAGCTCCCTCCCCCACTCATCCCCGGAACCATGTCACATAATCATCATTATATTAAAGCAACCACACATCACCCCCAAACACACGAAACCACTTACTACGAAGGGACGCAAGCGCAACAGCATCCTCTACCGCGGTGCATCTTAGACTCAGACGACGTATCTTGGGCAGCTCTATAACTAAAGCACAAAAAATAATAAGCCTTTGTTGAAAATTTCGGAATTATCTAAAAAAAATAACAAAGGACAAGGAACAAGGACATTAGAGACCCCGAAAGTTGAAATTAAAAGAAGAAAAAGAAAATCAATAGCAAAAGAAAAACGGATACACATGATGATATTTTAATTATTTTCTACGCACCTCTCTTTTGAGGAGGGAAGAGGAACCACTCACGATTGCGCGTCATGAAACTCTTCTTCCTCCAATGTCTGGCTGTCTGTTCTCCGCAAAAGATCGTCCTTGTGTGCTTCTTTGACAGGGTTGGAGTGAAGCAGTCGGCTTGGCGGGAGTTCATCGGCAAATTTGGGTGGGTTTTCCGACGAGACCGCGTCTGGTTGAGATGCTGGCTTTTCGGGAGGTGATGGTTGTGGATTGCTCGGATCGGTGGGGTTACTGCTGTGTATTTGGGGCGGGGCATGAGCCGTTGTTCCGTCGAAGTTGCTGGGAGGACCTACGATCTGTTGCTGATGCTGTGCTATTTCTGCGGGCTCTGACTGTACAGTAGTCGACTGAGGTTGGGCGGGTTGCACTTGTTGGATGGGCCGAGTAGACTCGTTTGTTTGAGTTCGATGAATACTCGATGTCCGTGAAGGAATGTTGAATTGTTTCTCGGGCTTCTGACCGGGGAGTATGGCATGGATCTGCAAGATCTGTTTGACCGCCTCTTCTGGGGTCTTTCCGTCACTGTGTCTTGTCAGATTGTATCGAGCATAGAGGGTTGAATACGAACATCTTGGCATTTATGATCCAATCCAGGTCTTCCTCGCCTTCTTCGCTCCCGCCGTGGCCACCCCTTACGCGTCTAAAGAGTTGCGGGTGCCAGTCGACACCCTCACTGTTTCGTTTTGCGGCTTCTTGACGTTGCCTGTCTTCGATCTTGGCCTTTGCATCCGTTGCAACGTCCTGGTCCCTCCGCTTCACGGCTTCTGTCACTTCGTGCCACAGCCTCTGTGACTCTCGCTCGTCTTGTTCCTCCAGAGGGCGGGCGCTTGGTGGCGTATGTCTAGTATGTGCGGCGTCAAACAATAGCTCTTTCTTGCCAGTCTGCAAAAGTTAGCTAGTTCCTGTAATCCAAGACAACAAATGCCTACAGTCAGATCCTTAATGTACATTTCCTCGTTCCATTGGCCGGAAAGTTCGAACAAGTTCTTGCCATTCGCATCCTTGATAAAGCCACCAATGGCGTTGTATGTTCCGCTAAAATAGCCCTTGGTCTTGAATTCAAGGTCGGCGCTTAGTCCAGTCTCAGGACAGCGAATGTAGGCGTGGTCGCCGAGCTCGTATTTCATGGTTCCGAAAAGAATGCCGCGCGCATACATGTTAGGTTGTGTGACAAAGCTAGAATCTCATGAGCTTCCCAGATCCAAAGGCTATCACAACTACTCACAATCGTTCACCAGTGTTCAAGAGCCGCAGTATCGCAATACCCTCCATCATACTCGCAGCAGAGTTTCCCAAAAACTTGCTCCTGGGCTTGAGAGTTCCGTCAATGCGAATGTGATGTTCGGGCGCCATGAAGAAATAGCTCGACTTTGGTGGGTGGTGCGACGTTTGCTCGGCAATATAGTATCCCTTGGTGCCATCTGAGTAGTCCCAATAGCCGGTGAATATCTCGCCGAGTATGGGGTTGAGAGGCTTCTTGACTCCACTACACTCACATCAGTTGTTGCGTACGGGTGGGTCATGATTGCGGGTATGCATACGGGGGCTTGATGTGCCATCCACTGAGATAGAACTTTGTCACAGCCACGAATCGTTGCACAGGGTCCTCAATCTTGGTAATGGGAAGCAGCGTTTCCGGATGTGCCATGAAACTATCCTGGCAGTCAGCATACGTTGCCAACGTTGGAGATTCAGCCTAGTACACACTTTGTGATGCGCTCCAGCATCGACCGCGGTTCGAGAATAAAAGTGGGCAGTGTGACTCTGCTCAGATCGGCACCAGGCCGCAGCTGTGATATGATATGGGTGAGCACTGAGTGTTGTCGTGTTAGCCAGTATCTAGTGTAACAGCCAGCTTCGCAGCGTTTTCAGAAGACGCACTATTGCCCTGCTCCGGGTCTATGATAGTCTCATCTTCTTTGGTGACATCTTCGCCGCCATCATGTCGCCGTGTCTCGTCTATAGAAGAGCCGCGACTGCCTAGATGTTCACTCAGTCGTCAGCGTCTGGTCGTTGGCAGAAATTTGTTCGGAAGACTCGGTACAAGCGGTGGCCGGGGTATGACGCACTTGTGAGAGACGTCCGCCGATGTTTGGAAACGCCAGGTAGATGTGGCATGTTGGCTGCTGGTTGTTGAAGGTAGGAGTGGGTATGAGGGAATAGGCCAACAGGGTAAAAGGAAATGTAGGCTTTGGGCAGCCTGGCAACGCCCCGATCGAACTTGTCTTGGTGCTTAGGGCGCGTGCGGGCGTGGGGGAGCTCTACTAGTCCAGGGTTCTCAGCAATGACGAGAGGGGCGGCTTCACAAAAACTAGCGACCCCGCGCTACGACACTGGTTTGACAGCAAATGGGCAAACATCAACAACGAGCAATCAAGGGCCAAAGTGCAAGCAACGAGGGGGCTGAAAAGATTTGCGCGACACTGCATAAACAATATCTGGACACTCAGCTGACTTGCACCGTGGCGACAGCCAAGCTGGCGTCTCTGAGCCGACAGCAGGGCAGTTGTCTTGTCCGCCGTGTGTTCAAGGTCGCAGGCGGCATTGCTAGATATAGAGGCATATCTTGGGTGCAAGTGAGCCTTGATACGTATCCAGTGGATGTGTGTACATCACATGCGTGTTCTAGCGGTTCCATGGAACGCTCGGGTGCGAAACGGTGGAGACTTTGTGGATGCTTCATGGATGCCTACCCCTGTGTGCTTCCGGCGGAACCGACTGAAGGGAATGTGGACAAAACCATGCGGCAGTTGCTCCCTCTGCCACTGGTTCCCAATCATGGTTGTCTTTGCATTATTTTGCTGACGCAGGTCGTATCCAAAATTGGTACATGGCTGCTTATATTTTCCTATAAGGGAAAGAGAAATTAGAAAGTGTAAGTAGGCCTGGGTATATTAGCGGATAGAGTGATGAGGCTATCCTAGTCCAACACGCTCTCGCCAGCCTGGACTGCGTTCTTTGCACTTTATTTCTGGGTTTTCCCGGGCAGGTTCTTGACCTTGAGCATTTGCACATCGCTCATGCTTATGGCTTTGACACCGTGCTCCTCATACTCCTTGTGCACTTGCTCCATGGCCGAGGGGTCCACCGCTTTCGTCGCCTCACCAAGCACCCATGTCTTGAAGCCTTCGCTCTGTGCATCAATGGCCGTGTATTTTACACAATAGTCAGCTGCCAAGCCAACGACGTAGATGTCTGTGATGCCGGCCTGGTGCAACGTCTCTGCCAGGCTGCTCCTGGCGACACACGGACTCTTGAAGGGATCCGCGAATGCCGAGTACATCTCAACGCGTTTGTCCTGACCTTTTTCCACAATATGATCTATCTTGCTGATATGTAACTCTGACAACAGCTCTGAGCCCTTTGTGCCCTGGACACAGTGGTCTGGCCACAATCGCGTCTCCTGCTTTTCTTCCGGGTTGTGCGGGTTTACGATTGTAATTGTAGATTCAAACGGTTTGTTGTTCGGCGCTGGATGATTTGAGGCGAAGGAAATGTGGTCTTGCGGATGGAAGTCTTTGGTTGCTACCTTCAAGGCAAAGGGGTAGTCGAGACATTCGTTGATCACCGGTACTATGTCGCGGCCTCCTGCCACTGCCAGCGCTCCGTTCTGGTCTGTGAGCGAGGGGTCAACAAGCGGGTTGGGCGACTTACTGGCGGGCAAAAGTCTTCCTGTACATCGACAATGATTAGCGCGGGTTTGAATGACATTGTTAGTAGTGGAATGGAAATCTAGCGGCGGGGTGAGATAACAATGGTTCGTCGAGAAGGATGCAAAGCGTAGACGGAGGACAGCACGGCAAAAGGCTATGTCAAAAAAATGTTTCTTTTTAGTGTACAAGATCAAGTCAGCATATCTCATGATGCTGCAAACGATTGTTAGCATGTGCAGCTGGAAAACGAGCCGTTGACAATTGAATGATTTGCAAAGGAAGGAATTGCAATCGGGTCGGTGGTGGCTCTGCTCAGTTGCTGTGGCTTGACGGATTGGGCCTTACCTAAGCAGTGCGCAAAGCCAAGCTTCTCTCGTGACGGAACGCAATCCCACGATCACGAACTCGCAAGCTCGATAGCCACGCCCACCCTCTCCACTCAACCCCAATCGCTCTCGCCATGTTTCTCCAACGCTCTGCCATGGCCGCGGCAAGGCGGGCGGCCCCTCGCGCGCTCGCCCAGCGCACTTTCACGACATCCTTTGTCCGCCGTAGGTTTTGGGTCTACCAGCTATCGTACGATGTAGCATTGACACCATTGCAGGCGACGACAGCAAGATTGCGCAAAAGGAGACTGGCCACTCGGCCAATTCGCCCAGCGTCCTCGAGGGCTTCAAGAAGCTCGACGGTATGTCGCGCCCGCACCTGGGTAACCGCAGTGTTGCGGATGCCGCGTGGGAAAAGTGTCGATAGCTGACGAGAGCATTGGGCGTGTAGAAATCAAGTCAGAAGCGGACCTCCTTCCCCCGGGTGCTAAGCCTGGTACTGTGCCTACGGACGCGGAACAGTCTACGGGTCTAGAGCGTCTCGAGATTCTCGGAAAGATGCAGGGTATCGATATCTTCGACATGAGGCCATTGGATGCCAGCCGTCTCGGTACGTGATGAAACAAACAAGGTCAAATGTGGAGCAGCAGCAGCAGCAGCAGGCAGACGCAAGCACCTAGATGAGAGTGGCATTGATGCTGACTGAGTCTAGGCACCATGGAGAACCCAATCACTGTCAACTCTGCAGGTGATGAGCAATATGTTGGTTGCACCGGATGCCCCGCCGACTCGCACAACGTTCTGTGGATCACCCTCACCCGCGAGGAGCCCAAGTCACGTTGCATGGAGTGTGGCTCCGTGTACGAGATGCATTATGTGGGCCCGGCAGAGGATGCTCACGGTCACCACGACCACCACGACCACCATGAGAACCCACACCCAAGGCCCAAGAACATGGCCGACTTCATCAAGCCCGAGTACCAGGAGCTATAAATGTAGCTGACCTAGTTTTGTTTTCCTATGTGCAGGGTGTATCTATAGGAGTGAGAAATCTGTAGCATAGGACAGGGGTTAGAGAAAGAGAGATGCAGAGAGAGAGGGCGAGAGAAGTACGATTAAAGTTTCAACGTATGCACTAGTGTGAAGTGATGTGTTGTGTGTTTCTATAATTGTATAGTTGTGCGTTGCAAACAACGATCATCAGGCCAGTCAGCAATTCACGGACTGTAAGCCGTGATATGGCGGGCTGAGACAAGGGAATGAGTGGCTTGATGAGTCGTTCAGGATCCTTTGAGAGCCATGGCTCCTAGAACTAGACTCTCAATGTAGGCCTTTTGGTCTTGAGAGTCATTTCCGTGATTCTCGCCGTTGGCTTGTTTGGTGTTGGTGGTGGTGGTGGTGGTGTTGCTTCGAGAGGCACGGTCAGCACTAGCCAGCTTGTAGACCTTGCAGACCTTGTCTAGTTGACAGAAGGAGCCCAGCTCTTGACCGTTGTCGGCAATCTCGATGCTGGACCCGTGCACAACGTTGCCGAGATGGGCGCTCACGGTTTGATTTGTGATGGACTCATCCTTGACATAGGTACCGTCGGGAGGGGATGCAGAGAGGGGCAGTTTGACGGCAATGATTTGCGTCGAGGCGTCTGAGATGCCAAACTTCTTGTAGGATTCACCAATGTTGTTGTTGGGGGAGAGGCGAAAGACGAGCTCCGAGTGGGGAGTGCGCGTCTTTGAGCGCGAGGTCAAGAAGTTGTGGAGAGCAATAAAGGTGGCGGAGAGGAGGTGCTGGGGTGAGACGATCTATTTTAGTCAAGAGTCAGTTGTCTAGACGAGGCAGGTGGCAGGTAGGCAGCAAAAGACGATTAGACTCAATGGAAGCAAGATTATGTCGACATTGGGGCAAGATGGGATTGTCGTGATAGGCGCGGAGTGCTGTGGCCCGTTCTGCAGTAGGCAGTGGGTGCAGTGACGTTGAAGCAGCACCAGGAGGATGCTGGTCAACGACACCGTTTGGTGATCCAGGCGTTGACAGTGGTTGTGCGACAGGGGGTGTCGAAGCCCGAACCATTACCGGCCATCCAGATTAGTGCAGGCTGGAATGTCACCAAGCCACGTGATGGGCAGAAAGGGAGAAAGGGGAATGGACGAGGCAAGAGCATCCGCGGAGAAGAGGTGCAAATGGCAGGCGCACGCGACAAGTGGGCTGAGCCAGTGCAGTGGTTGTGAGTGTGTAACTCTTTTTTTTTCCATCTTGCCTGGGCGCTCATTTTGTTTTCCCCTTTTTTTGATTCCCTTTTTCCAAGACCAGAATGGGTGGGCATAGTTCAAGTGCAGAGAGAAGATGGAAAAGGCAAGTCCAGGGCAAGGAGACAGGGCCGTACCATTGACGCGTCCAAAAAGGCATAGTCGAAATGCGGATTGGCATCTAGGAGCTGACGCCTGAGATGCGAGGCGTTTGCGACATCCTTGAACAGGGCCACGTGGATAGGGTAGGCATGGTAGTGTGGCAGCTGAAATGTGCGCACCGACGCCATGGTCGTAGGAAGGAGAGCTTGGGGACGGACGGTGGTGGTTGATGTGCAGCAGGGCACTGGAGCGGTGGGGAGGCTGGGCTATGAGGTGTGGAGACGAGTGGGTGGACGGCAGCAGCAGCAGCTGAAGGGGTTCAAAAGGAACGGAGGGCAGGTTGTTTTGGAGGCATGTAGTAGCGGGGCAGTGTGTGTGGTGGGTGGTGTATGGGGGTGTGTGTGTGTGTGTGTGTGTGTGTGTGTGTGTGCACCGCCACCGACGACAGGCGAGAGTGGGCGGGAAGGGGGAATGGGCGTGGAAGGGCGGCGAGGGACAGGACAGGGCAGGGCAGCAGCAGGCATCAGGGCATCAAGAGGCGCTGCCAGTGTGGATGAGGCTGGCGGCAAGGCAGTCGGCGGGCATGGCTACCCAGGATGCAGAGTGTAGTCATGTCGCGGCTGCAGGCCCATGGTGTTTGGGCAGGCCATGCTTGGGGCGGTGCGTGCTAGCGGCAGGCAAGCCACCACCAGGGCGGTGGAATGGCAGCCATGACAGCAGCGGCGAGCGCACAGCAGCACAGCCAAATTGGCCGACGCTGTCAGGGCAGCAGGGCACGGCGACCGAGCCGTCGCTGTTCGCTGCGGCTGGCGGCCAATGGCAAGGGCGCGGTGCGTGGTCGAAGGCGGCTGCTGTGCGCACGCCCGCCCGTGTGCACCAAAGAGGCGCCGAGGCTACTGTACCAAGGGCATCGCGGCCGCCATTCACTTTCCCACCGCAGCGCACCCTCACCTCGCCCTCTGCGCTGCCCGCTTAAAGCATTGCACACACGCGCCCTCGCTCGCCCCTCACCTCTCCCTCAGACGCCTGCCCACCTCCGCCCTCTGGTGCTGCCAAACCGACCGTGGGCGCGCGGCTATGCGAGCGTGCAGCCTGCCTGTCTGACAGGTGATCGCCCCAAGCCACACAAGGCTCGTTCTGGGGACTGCCCATCGGTCGTTCCCACCGGCTTTCTCCGCCGAGTTCACGTCCAACCATGGCGACCAAGCGACCTGCCGACGACGACCCCAATCTCGTCAGCAAGATCCAGCGCGTCCACCTCCACGCCCCGCTGAGTCCCCAGCACCGCGCCCCCGCCACGGCCACGACAACCACCACCACGGCTGCTGCTGCTGCCACCGCGACCACCGCTGCCCCGCCCTCGTCCGCCTCGTCCCACAGCCATGTCGCAACCGACTTCTCCGGCTCCGTCAAGAAGAAGCTGGCCGACTCCAAGCGGACCGGCCAGGCCTGCGACCGCTGCAAGGTCCGCAAGATTCGCTGCGATGGCCGCCCCGACGGATGCACGCCCTGCGAGCAGAACAGGACGCCCTGCCGCACCACCGACCGCATCACTGGACGCGCCACTGTCCGCGGCCATGCAGAGGCCATGGAGTCCGAGAACTCGTACCTGCGCGCCCACATTGCAGACCTGCAGGCCCAGCTAAAAGAGAACGGCGTCGAGCCCCGCCTGCCTCCTGCCTACAGCGCTGCATTGCAACAGCCCTCGAACCCGTGGCCCTCGTCCGCTGCCAGCGACGCATCCCCCTGGTCCGATGGCCGCCCCCGCCGCACGAGCTCGTCCCCGCTGCCTGGCTATGCGCCTGCTGCCACCACGACCGCCTCGGCCAAACTCGAGCTGCTCCCTCAGTTCAAGCATGGCTCCATTGGCGACAACTACCTGGGTGTCGCCTCTGTACAATCGCCCCTGAGCCACATCAAGGGCACCTCGCTCTCCATCTATGGCACCAACATCGACATTACAGACTTTATCGCGGCCGAGACCGAATACGAGAAGGAAGCCACGTCCTACTCGACCCTCGTCAAGATCACCATGGGTAACCACCCTGTCGAAACACCCCAGCTGCCGCCCTACAACGAGCTCAACGAGTACGCCATCTGGTACATGCGCTCCATCAACCCGTACACCATGCTGGTCCACAAGCCCGCCTTTATGCAATTGGTATCCCTCCCCCCGGACCCTGTCTCCACCTTGCTCCTGGATGCCCACTGACAAGCGTAGATTTGGAGGATAGGAAACGACCCCAGCTTTACCCCAACAGGACCCGAGACAGTAACCGTCCATATGATGCTCGCCACCATCATGTACCAAATAGCCGTTCGCAACAGCGACCAGTGTGGCAGTTCCTTGCTCGAAAGCGCCCATGCCCACTACAAGTATGCCCTGACCTTCTTCAAGGAACTCATCCTTGGCGAACATGGTTGGCAAGACGTCCAAGCGTTGGCAATGATCTGCCATCATCTACGCACCTTTCCCAAGCCCGGCGCTGCATGGATCATGACCTCGACCGTCTATCTATTCGCCGTGCAGCTTGGCCTACACCGCTCCGTCAAGGTCTGGGAAGATGGCACGGGTGAGCTGACCAAACTGGACATTGAAATGAGGAAACGTGTCTTCTGGACCCTCCACGCCATCCAGATCAATCTCAATGGAAACCTAGGGCGTCCAATGCCTATTAGCAACGAAGATATTGATGTCGAGTTTCCAGAACCCATGAACGACTGTCTGCCTGGCGAAGAGGCGAATCTGGACACGTTCCACCAGTGTTCCTTCCAGGTTGGCATTCAGATTGCAAAGTACACGGTCTGGGATCTCGAGCTGTACAAGACAATCTATGCTGTCCGGTATTCGCAAAAGGCATACCTCGACAGCTTGAAGCGCCTCGCAGCTGGCATCAGGCAGTGGAAGGATGAAATGCCTTATGAGTTGCGCGATCCGTCGCAGGCCGCCGATGATGATTACATCTTTGCCCTCTATCTGCAATACTGGTATCATTCTTACATGTTGCTCCTGCATCATCCCGGTGTGTGCAGGTCAACCGATTCGGCCATTCTGGATTCAAACCTTGACCAGTGTTTGCATGCAGCGCAAAGAATACTGCACAATTGCACCCAACTGATGAACAAAAAGAGCCTGGATATCCCCTGGGTCAACACAGTCAACTACATTGCTGCTACATTTACCACGCTCTTCATTTCGACATCGCGCCAAGATCAGATGACCCCGTCGGATATGACCAAGCTCAAGGACGACATGGCATCCTGGGTGGATCTCCTTGGCGAATGCGATAAGTTCCTAGGCTCGGGAAATCGATTGAAGCTAGCCATTTCAAGAATTGTGGATCAGTCTCTCAGTAAGATCAATGATAGCATCGTCAAGCGAACGGCAACCGAATCCCTTGCCCGCGTTGCCATGCAGGCTCCCGTCCGTTCAGAGTCTAATTCTTCGGTATACGACCAAAGCGCATACCAGGATCAATACGCCACAACAACCAGCGGGTCTACTGATCCTATTCTATCGTCGCATGCTGCAACATACACGGCTTTGCCCATCAACACTGCACACTCATACAACCTCAACACTCAAGTCAGCGTCCCTTCGCAACCAAACCGAGGTTACGATCAGCAAACTTACAATGGTGGGGACGAAGCGAGCATGAACCCAAATCACGCCGCGGCCCTTGCCGCAGCCGCTGCAGCCGCATCGTCAACCAGCGCCATCTCCCAAGCGCCTGCAGACGCGTATGCTTACTCACACGCACACATGGCCAACACGGCTCACCAACAGCCTACCTACACAACCAACGGCTATGTTGCCCAGGAGTGGACCCAATGGACAAGAGCGTACATGCAACACGCCCACGACCAAATCCAGCAGCAACAACAGCCTGGTGAATACCTCAATACTGCAACCACACTGATGACGCTTGGCCGCGATGCATCTTCCTCTCATGGCACCAGCAGCGATGGCCAGGGCCTAGTCCAAACATCTGGTGTTCAGAATCATCATCACCATCATCATAATCACCACCACCACCAGCAACAACAACATCATCATTCCCATAATCAGCATACACCATCGCATCATCCTTCCCCAGTTCATTGGCCGCAGGTTGCTTTTCCTAATGTGACGAGTGCGTCGCATTAAATCATTGCCAAGGCATTTTTGTTTCTCCTCCGTTTACGCGTGCACTCTGTTTTCAATCTCTGCCTCTTCGTCTTCATCTTCGTCTTCGTCTACTTCGTTTTTTCTGTCATCTAGTAAGGGATGTTTGAATTTTTTTACTGTCCATAGATAGTTGAACGGCCGTTTTGAAATCTTGTTTTTTTTCTTCTTCTTCTCTTGCTGTTGTTGTTGTTTTCTTTGGCGAGGGAAAGGGGGGGAGGGTTCTATATGATATCACTCTGGGGGATGGGGAAATCTTTTTTGTTTCTCTCTTCTTTTTTTTTCGGGATGGGGGGTTTCGAGGACCTTTGTAGGAGGGGTGGTGTGGATCAATCTTAGGGAAGAGGGAAACTTGTCGGCTAGGCGTCTTGTTTTATCTTTCAAAACTCTCTGTTCTTGTATTTATCTTCGTAGGGTTGTCTTTGGGCTCTTTTTTTGTTTTTGGATATCAATGGATGGTGGATAGGCTAAGTGAGTACCGCTTCTTATCTATTGATCCCCCTTTTATTTTTAAAAAACTCCCTTTGTGGTGTAAATGTATACTCATCTTCGATTTCTCTCTCTCTCTCTTCCTCAATCTTTTCTTCTCTTGTCAGAGTCTCTTGTCCCAGTGTACCGTCAAATGTCTATTCCCATTTCAGTGTTTTTCTATTCCCCGCCTTTTTCTTTTCTCACGTCTGTGCCTATACATGTCTCTTTCTTTTTTTGATACGCTAGACTTTTCTTGCCGGGATTTAGGACAACTATATTTTTTCTTCAGTCAGAACGGAGGAGGATTGAGGGTATTCATATATGTGTGTGTATGTTATACCTTTTGGTTCGTTTTCTTCTTTGTCTTTCTCTGGCCTTTTATTCTTTGCTATACAGCGATTGTGAAGGTTGCGTTTGCTGAGGAGAGGTAGGGTGATTGTGGTTGTAGTTGCTGTGTACATGTAGCATTCTTGTGTATTCCTATAGGCAATGGAGTGTGTGCTGTATACATATTTGTGCGTGTGCGGGAGGTTTGCAACTGAGTAGTGTTAGGGGAGTTGTTTTGCAGGTGACTTTTTGGTGATAGTAGCGGTAGTGCTGCGAGTGCGTGTGTATGTTAGAGTCCATTTAGTTGTCGTTTTGATATATGCGGTCTTCGCTTTCTGCAATTTCATGGTATTGGGTTGGGTGGGATTAGGGAATGTCCTTGGTTGTTTGCTGGGTGGTGCAGGTGAGATGAGCAATGAAGATTTGGGTTTTAGTAGCTATCGTTGTGGATTTGGTAAGATATCAGAAAAGGGGGAGAGAGATTGGAGGAGAGCGACAGTGCATTCACGGGTTGAATACATTCAAGGTTCTGTTTCGTCCTGTTTGGCCCCATTTGCTCTCAGCAATGCCACAATTTCCGTGCGCCCAAAAAACGAGGCCGCCTGAAGTGCATTACCGTAATAACCACTCTTAGCGTTCACATCAGCGCCTCTCTCTAGCAATAGCTGTATAATATCTCTACAACCGTTAGAGCAAGCTGTCTGAAGTGCACTGCCGTATTCACCACACTTGGCGTTGATATCAGCGCCTCTCTCTAGTAATAGTTCTACAACGTCCTTAGAACTATTAAAGCAAGCTGCCTGAAGCGCATTACCAAAATAACCACCCTTCGCGTTGATACTAGCGCCTCTCTCTAGCAATAGCTGTACAATATCTCTGCGACCGTTAGAGCAAGCTATCTGAAGTACACTGCCGTATTCACCACACTTGGCGTTAATATTAGCGCCTCTCTCTAGCAATAGCTCTA